TTTTGGATGGTAGCTTGCAAAATGTCAGCAAACACTTGAATCCTATATCCGTCAATTTCCAAGTCTGGATGTTCCCTGGCGTAGCGCATCACCGCTTCTTTAATGCGGAAGAAATGAGGCTTAACGATAACATCTCGAGCGGGGACCATCAGGCTTTAAGGGGATCAGAGCTCTGTGAATATGATCAATCTCCGTGTGAAACTCGGCAGAATCTGGAGCTGCCCACAATATGAAGGAGCGGGCAAATGCCGCGATATCTTTAACCGTTTCTGGAAGGCCTCTGACTTTAAAATTGCACCGGCGATCGCAATTCTCCAGGTCATCTATCTTTGTATAAGCTTGCTCAAGGCAATCTTGTGAGTCCACAATCTTGGTAGAATTCTGTGATACTCTGTGAACCGTATTATCAACTTTGTTTTCAATATTCTCCAAGAGGTTTCCGAACTCCCTAAAATCCAGCCTAAGGTCAGAGGTCAATTTATAGGTAGCTTATTCTAATTCCCTCTGAAGCAAATCAGCCAAATGAGCAATGAGAACAGAATCCCCGAAGTAGTGCTGGGGTACATCTGGAGGAGCAGGGGATAGAACTGAACCATCAAGAGCAGAATCTTGGCCACTGAGCTGACTATTAAATATCTCCGCCATTACCTTATCGAGCATGGAGGAAGTGTGGGATTCCTGGCCTGGTGACAGGGCTGCAGCCTGTAGGGAGATCTGGTAGAGCTGGAGATAGACCCAGGGGTAATATGGGTATCCTCCTTTCATCAATGCGACCTTGCGGGAGCCGCCCACAGATCATCCAGCCGGCCGGCTGGGCATCGGAGGTCCTCCACCTACTCCCAAGCTGACCGGGTGAGTAAGCCGGCCAAACGGTGTCATGGTGAGCTGTCTGTCCCCCCTAAAGCACTGGAAAAAGTACAGAGCGGGGATCACAGCATCTGCTCCAGCTGCCCACTCATGTACTCCCCCTAAATTTCACTCTAAATCTCATGTGACTAGCAGTCAACAGTGCCTTAGATCTCACATAGCAGATATATAGGTATGAGGCAATAGTAACAGGAGTGCCTAGGAACCCTCACATACCAGGAAGTGCACTTCTATTTTTTAGGAGGCATTCAAGACTAAAGGTAGACTTTTTAGGGTACTGCTTAGGCACAATCAACTTTTATATATATATATATATATACATATATATATATATATATATATATTTCCTATAGCAAACCTTAACCTTTTGAGTCTAGATATAGAACCTTTGTTAAAGAATTGACAGTATTTCAACTTATCAGTCCTTAGAAATGATGGCTGCATTCATTTTCTTTACACTTATTTTAACTTGGTAATCCTGCCATTAACACAATCTCTGTTCTAGGGTGACAGCAATACTGAGCAACATTATCGCCCTAAGACAGGAAATATGTTTTTACTACATAACACAATGTTAGAACCAGATAATACTTCCCTCATTTCTCCATAATAAGGGGGGGAGTGTTTTGTAGTCCAAGCAAGTCACAAGACTCAATGCATGAACAGTTGTTTTTCTTTTGTATTTGGTGAACATATATATTTTAAAAACACTTTCAATGTGATATTTACCAGACCAAAGGGATCAAATAAGAAAAATGTATTGTTAGCAATTATACACATTAAGTACTTGTCATGTTTTATCCCATTTAATTTATTGTTGCTGATTATCTGTTTTGTAATATCTTTATGTTGACAATATCTTTTTTCTTTTATTTTCAATAAAATGATACTTTAAATTGTTAAACTGAATATCTAAATGCTCTTAATCAGAAATTACAACCCCAGTTCTGAAAAAGTTGGGGCGCTGTGTAAAATCGAAATTAAAAACAGAATGCAATGATTTTCAAATTTCATAAACTATACAGTATTTTACATGGAATAATAAATATAAAACACATCCAACGTTTAAAATGTTCTTAGGAAAAAATAAGGTAATTTTGAAACTGATGGCAGCAACATGTCTTGAAAAAGTTGGCCAGAGTAACCAAAAGTTGGTAAAATAAATGGTACTAACAAGGAAGAGCTGGAAAAACATTTTCTAACTAATAAAGGTTGATTGGCAACAGGTCAGTAACATGATTGGGTATAAAAAGAACATCTTAGAGAGTTAGAAAGTCTCAAAAGTAAAGATAGGCAGAAGTTCACCAATCTGTGAAAAGCTGCATCTAAACATTGTCAAACAATTTCAGGATAATGTTCCTTAATGTAAAATTGCAAAGACCACATAATATCAAAAGATTCAGAGAATCTGGAGAAATCTCTGTGTGCAAGGAACAATGCTGAAAACACAATCTTGGATGGCCATGATCTTTAGGGCATAAGATGGCACTGCATTAAAAACAAGCATGATTCTGTGATGGACATCACTGAATGGGCTCAGGAATACTTCCAAAAATCACTGTCTGTGAACACAGTTTGCTGTACTATCCAAAAATGCAAGGTAAAGCTCTATCATGCAAAGAAGAAACTATATCTGAACATGATCCTGAAAGACTACCATCTTCTCTGAGCCAAAGCTCTTTTAAAATGGTCTTTTGCAAAGTGGAAAACTGTTCTGTGGCCAGACAAATTGAAATTTCACATTCTCTTTGGCAATCATGGGTGCTGCGTTCTCCAGCCTAAAAAGGAGAGGGACCTTCTGGCTTGTTATCAGCTCTCAGTTCAGAAGTCTACATCTCTGATGGTATGGGGGTGTATTAGTGTGTATGGAATGGGCAACTTGTACATCTGGAAAGGCAAATTCAGTGCTGAAAGATATATCCAGGTTTTAGAGCAGCATATGCTCAAGCAAGAATGAGACAAGATTCCTCTCCTAAAACTCCAGCAACTGGTCTCCTCAGTTCCCAGACATTTACAGAGTGTAGTTAAAAGAAGAGTAGATGCTACACCAAGGTAAACATGGCTCTGTCCCACCTTTTTTTAGAAATGGGGTTGTACTATGCTAGCTTTTTGTTGCCCTTTCCCAACTTTTTTGAGAAATGTTGCTGCCATCGACTTAAAATTGTTTTATTTCTGTCCCTAAAATGGTACGTTTTCTCAGTTTTGATATGTTGTCTATTATGAATAAAATATAGATTTATGAGATTTGCAAATCATTGCATTCTGATTTTATGTAGATTTTATGCAGTATCCCAACTTTTGGAATTGGGGTCGTAAACAATTTCTGTCTCTGTGGGGGCTACAAAATTTTAAAACTTGGCTACATTGCTGTCTGGGCATGGCAGCGATTGACAGAAACATTTCTTAACCACTTTACAACCACACTATATTATTATTATTATTATTATACAGGATTTATATAGCGCCAACAGTTTGTGCAGCGCTTTACAAAATGAAGGTAGACATAACAGTTACAATGCAATTTGGTACAGGAGGAAACAGAGGGCCCGTTAGAGCTTACAATCTAGGAGAGAGGGTTGAGTGATACAAAAGGTAATAGCTGTGGGGGATGAGCTGATGGAGGCAGTTTACTAATTAGAAGCAGGATAGGCTTCTTTAAGGAGATCAGTGTTCAGGGATCGCCTAAAGGTGGATAGATTAGGAGACAATCAGACAGATTGGGCTAGGGACTACTATAGGACGGAAGAAGCTTGGGAGAAGTCCTGAAAGTGAGCATGGGAGGAGGTGACATGGAAACTAGAGAGCAAAAGATCTTGGGAGGATCGAAGAGAGCGGTTTGGTAGATATTTTGAGACCAGGTTAGTGATGTAGCTGGAGGCAGAGTTGTGGATGGCTTTGTAAATTGTTGTTAATATTTTGAATTTTATTCGCTGGGCGAGTGGAAGCCAGTGGAGGGATTGGCAGAGAGGGGTAGCAGAGACTGAACGGTTGGTAAGGTGAATGAGCCTGGCAGCAGTATTCATGATGGACTGGAGGGGGGATAGCCTATGTAAAGGTAAGCCAATGAGGAGAGAGTTGCAGTAGTCAAGGCGAGAGATAACTAGGGAGTGAATTAGGAGCTTTGTGGTATCATTGGTTAAAAAGAGGCGTATTCTGGAGATGTTGTGGAGCTTGAGGCGGCATAATTTGGACAGGGATTGGATGTGGGCCTGAAAGTATAGTTCAGAATCCAGGGTTACCCCTAGCACTCTGGCATGTGGGGATGGATTGATAGTGGTGCTATTGATCCTGACTGAGAAATCAGAGGAAGAAGCATGTCAGGGAGGAAATATTATGAGCTCAGTTTTGGATAGATTGAGTTTCAGGAAGTGGTGTGACATCCAGTCTGATATGTCTGTTAGTAAATCAGTGATACGTGAGGAAACTGATGGGGTGAGTTGAGGAGTAGAGAGACAGATTTGTGTGTCATCAGCATAGAAATGGTATTGGAAACCATGGGAAGCTATCAGCTCACCCAAAAAAGAGGTGTAGATCGAGAATAGGAGAGGTCCAAGGACAGAACCTTGGGGGACCCCGACAGTAAGAGGAGTAGGAGAGGAGGAGGTAGAGTTGTAAGTGACACTGAAGGTGCGGTGAGATAGGTAAGATTTGAGCCAACGGAGAGTACAGTCATGGACACCAAGTAAATTGAGTTTTTAGAGGAGGAGGGGGTGGTCAACTATGTCAAAGGCAGCGGAGAGGTCCAAGAGTAAGAGTATGGAATAGTGACCATTAGTTTCAGCAGTTAGCAAGTCGTTCGTGAGTTTTAGGAGAGCAGTTTCTGTGAAATGTTGTGAGCGAAATTCAGACTGACGGGAATCGAGAAGGTTATTCTCAATAAGGTGGCAGCTCAGCCGGTTGTAGAGTAGACATTCAAGGAGTTTGGAGGCAAAAGGGAGTAAGGAGATGGGTCTTAGGTTGCTAAGATTGGTGGGGTCCAGTGAGGCCTTTTTAAGTATGGAGGGTGACTAGTGCATGCTTTAGAGAGTTGGGGAAGATGCCAGGAGAAAGGGAGAGATTGAAGATATGAGTGAAGAGTGAAGGATAGAGGCAGAGGGTGATTGTAGTATTTTCAAGGGAATAGGGTCCAGGGCAGGGGTGGACTGACCATTTGGAAACTCGGGCACTGCCCAAGGGCCCGTGGTCAGTAGGGGGCCCCATGAGATGCCCCTGGTACCTTTTTCATAGGCTTTTTTGAGTTTGGGCAAGGACACAGGGGCCCCATGATCCCCTATTGCCCGGGGCCCCATGAGTTGTCAGTCCGCCCCTGGTCCAGGGGACATGTGGTTAGGTGGAAAAAAGTTTACCAACCTCCTCTATAGTAGCTTGGTTAAACAAGGGAAGTATAGATTGTGCAGATGGACAAGGAATGTAGGGTGAGGGAAATATCTGTACAGTGGAGATCTCGTCATAAATTGTATCAATCTTATTTTTTAAGTGATTAGCAATCTCCTGGGCAGTGCTTCAGTTAGAGGGTAGAGGTAAAGAAGGACGATATAGAGAGTTAAAGGTAGAAAAGAGTTGATGGGGATTGCTTGAGAGGGTGTTAATGAGAGTGATAAAATAGGTCTGTTTGGCAGTGTGGAGACAGGAGTTGTATTTTTGAAGGGCAGATTTATATTGGTTGAAGTCTTGCTGGGTCTTAGTCTTACGCCATAAACGCTCCAGAGCACGGCTACATTTTTTGAGGCATCTGGTATTGTTTGTTTGCCAGGACTGTAGTGGTCGGGGCCTAATTCTGTGTGTAGTGAGGGGGGCCAATGTGTCCACCGTGGATGACAGTGAACTGTTGTAGACAGAAGTGGCCAGGTTGGGGCTGAAATTTTGTCATAGAGACAATCTGTTGCTGAAAAAAGAAGAGAGGGGTTAAGATAGCGAAGGTTTCTACGGGTAACCGAAAGATGGCTACAGCACGGTTGTCCAGTTGTGGGAGGTCCTACGGACACAGCTGATCACATGACTAGGTGAAAGGCCAATCACAGCAACCTTCTACCATGTGATCAGCTGTGTCCAATGACATATACAGTTGCCAGCACTTTCCTCAAGCTGTCACAGCCAATAACCGAAAAATGTCACAGAGCAGATCAGCACTGATAATCAGGGCACTGCCCAGCAGTGCCACTCGCCAGTGCCATCCACCAGTGCAGTGCCACCCATCAATGCCCAGCAGTGCCACCCATCAGTGCTGCCCAGCAATTGCACCCATCAGTGCCCAGCAGTGCCACCTATCAGTGCTTCCAGTCATTGCCACCCATCAGTGCCACCTATCAGTGTCCATCATTGCTGCCAATCAGTGTCCATCAGTGCCCATCATTGCTGCATGTCAGTGCAGCATCATAATTGCCTCCTCATCAATGCCCACCAGTGCCACCTCATCAGTGCAGCCTATCACTACCTATCAGTGCTGCCACATCAACGCACATCAGTGAAGGAGAAAAATGACCTGTTTGCAAAGTTTATAATAGAAACAAAGAAAAACTTTTTTTTGCTCTTTTTTGGTTATAGTGTAAAGAATAAAACACCCAGTGCCGATTAAATGCCACCAAAAGAAAGCTCTATTTGTGTGAAAAAAAGATAAAAATTTCATATGGGTACAGTGTTGCATAATGCAATTGTCATTCAAAGTGCAACAGCACTGAAAGCTGAAAATTGGCCTGGGCAGGAAGGGGGTAAAAGTGCCCTGTAGGCAAGTGGTTAAAGATCAGAATTTCTACAGCAGATATTGTGAACTGTGCATGTGTCCATTAAAACATGCAGTGGCAGCTTTTGTTTCTGTGTGTAAAGGGAACTGCAGAGTTCACCTGCCCTAATAGCATTTACTCTCAGTCTGCTGGCACTAAGATTGTTGTCCCGGGAGCTGAAAAATCTCTTCCCATGGTGAGGAGTAATATTGTCTCAAATGGTATATTTAACAGACTAAACGGGAGAAAATAATAGAATCTCATTTCCAGGGTTTACATACACTTTTAAATTCTGCTCAATCCACCCACTTCTTACACAAATTTGACTATATGTGGACATACCACACCCATTTTTGCCAGCTCCACCCTTGCCTAAAAATCAGGACTAACCTGCTAAATATGGAATTGCTGGAAAGTATTTATGGCTAAGTGAATAATAAATACTTAGATTTTTTTTAATAAGTTACAATCATTCATTGTGCACAGTAGGGCAGTTCTGCTAAACAGATGCTCATAAAAAAATGATACCCATAAAATGTGAAAATGCTCATCTATGGGTTTAGTTGTTTCTGCTTCTCTTCACTGTCATAAATTAGACCACATATTTTGTTTGCAACCCACAATTGTTATATTCCTAGTTTACGAGACTCATAAGACTCACAGTTTTACTACCCAATGCATTATCTCTATGGGATGAAAGAGTCCTGTGACATAACGTGTGACGAAACAGCAAAGACTTTGGTGAGTCAGTCCACCTTTGTTTTTTAACATGATGTTCACTTGGCACAGTTATCACATTAGGAGAATAAAAAGCATATTTGTGTGTGACTGTATCTGCTTCGGCTGTGCTTGTATCATAAAGTCTGCTTCTTTCTGTCAGCATTTACAAGCTGATCTACAGAATTGAAAATGTACTGTCACTGCTAACTTATTCCTTTTGTAGCTGATAAAGCCGCCTCGAGAGGCGTCAAAGCTACATGTGTAAGAATACAAAACAAAATCCCTTGAAATTCAAGAGGTACTGCTTTTGCTCCTGTGTAACTTGTTCTTACACTTAAATTGAATATTAAGGGAAAAGAAGTAACTATGTGACATGCCAAGTAGCAACAATGACACAACTTCGTCTGTGCACAGCTGTCTTTCAGAACTGAAACATTAAAGAAGAATTGACAGAATAAATAAAATCTATCACTCATTTTCACTATGGAGATATCATCAGCATTCATGATAAAGACCAGTTTCTTGCAGTGCTGCAAAGGGATGGGTAAACATCAGGATAGGAGAACGGTACCAGATTACCCTCCCTATTGTATTAAACCCCCGATAACAAACATATCTTTACATGAAAATCCATTTGCTATTTTAATAATAATAATAATAATAATAATAGCCCCCCTCCGTTTCCAGTCCATGAAAAGGGTTGTAATTGTATTTTTAATCACTTGAGCTCCTGAGGATTTACCCCCCTTAATGACCAGGCCTCTTTTTGCTACTCGGCACTGCACTAATTCAACTGATAATTGTGCGGTCATGCAATGCTGTACCCAAACGAAATTTACGTCCTTTTTTTCACACAAATAGAGCTTTCTTTCGGTGTAATTTGATCATCTGTGCGCTTTTTATTTTTCACGCTATAAACAAAAAAAGACCAAAAATTTTGAAGAAAAACAATATTTTTTACTTTTCAGCTATAAAAAATATATAGTAAACTCAAAGTTGGTTATAAATTTAGGCCAAAATGTATTCTGCTACATGTTTTAGGTAAAAAAAATCCCAATAAGTGTATATTGATTGCTTTGTGTGGAAGTTATAGCGTCTACAAACTATGATATAGATACTGCAATTTACGCCATTTTTCTGCTATACAGCGCTGCGCTAGTTTAACGGGCAATTGCGCGGTCATGCAAAACAGTACATAAATGAAATTTACATCCTTTTTTCCCCACAAATTGAGCTTTCTTTCGGTGGTATTTGATTGCCTGTGCGGTTTTTATTTTTTGCGCTATAAAAAAAAAGGCTGACAATTTTGAGGAAAAAAAAAAACCCAAATATTTTGGACTTTTTGCTATAAAACATGTCCAGTAAAAAAAAAAAAATGCAAAAATCTAATTTAGTCATAAATTTCTGCCAAAATACATTCTGCGACATGTCTCTGCTAAAAAAAAACCAATACGTGTAAATTAATTGGTTTACGTGAAAGTTATAGCGTTTACAAATGGCGGGAAAGATACTGGGATTTTTAATTTTTTTTATACTAATAATGGTGGCGATCAGCGACATATGGCGGTGATCAGGGACTTATGGCGGCAATCAGCGACTGCGGGACTGTGGCGGACATTTTGACACTGGGGGGGAACTGACTTGGGGTCACTGACATCCCCAGTGACACCAATACAGTGATCAGTGAAAAAAACCCACTGATACTGTACTAATGTCACTGGGGAGGAAGGGGTTAACATATTTAGAGTTTACTGTGTAAGGGGAGTGTTTTACTAGGGGGCGGGGGTGTGTGCTGGATGGGGGGAGGGAGGGGGGAGCTGATCGAGGGAGAGAAATTCTTCTCTCCCTCTTCAGCTTGTTGGGGAACTGTCACAGAGCAGGGCTGTGTGTAAACAATGCAGCTCTGCTCTGTTTCAATGATAACAGCTCATCGCGGGAAAACGGCCGGTAAAAAACGGCCGTGACCCGGTGGCTGACCCCCGCTGCGGACACCCGCGGGACAGGCAGGGCGGGCGCGGGCGCCTTACGCGCGCCCCCTACCTGTTTTGTGGAGGTCCGTTTTAAAACGTCGTTTTGCCTACGAGCGAGCGCCGCCCTGCCGCCGTTTATAGGCGGTGGCTGGGCGGCAAGTGGTTAAAACTTACCCCAGTTTTGTGCAACAGGTTCAGCACTCCCTGCAACTTCCAGTCGGGGAGCTTGCACTCAAACTCTCCAGGAGACCCTGCCTCATAAGTAGTCTCAGAGTCTTTGGATGTCTACACAAAGAATATAAATAACATGCGTAAAATGGGATAATAATGCATAAAACTTTGACATACATTTCCAATCCCACCTCTACGACTAAGCCCATGAGTGGGTGAAATGCATTAGAGGGGCATGGCTTGGGAGGAGGCAGAGCTGAAGCCTTTCTGATACACTGTTAACCAGGAGGCTTCCCAGCTTGCGCTTCCATTTTTTCTTTTTAGAGATGCACAAACTATGTTAAATGCATATTTAATCTTTAAGGTTATCTGTTGAAATGAATGAATCTCTTAAAGCGGACTCCCTCCCCCCATCCAAATGCATATCCTGCTGTTATGTGCTACTAAGCATGCTTTTCTGAAAACATCCACAAGTTTTTTTCTTAAGTAGGTTATTTTGATGACATAGCCCTGGCCATACCAATGTCCCCTGGAAAGGCCACGTCACCAATGCCTTCCCATGATCTCGTTTCAAAGCTGCAAAATCTCGTAAGATTTCACTAAATCTCATGATACCTCACAAGTAGACTTTTATTTCACACAGAAGAAAAAAAAAAGTCCATTATTGTGCATGTGCAAGATTTTGGTGGACTGGCAAAGAGACTGGAAAAAAAGAAGCTGGCCTCCGGTGACGTAAAATTTTCAAATGGAGGTGCAGGAGCAGGAGGATGGGGGAAGGGAGAAATCAGGAAGGGTGCATGATAAGGAGGATAATAGGATATGTAAATGTATTACTTGTACTGATATGATTTATATGCAGTGTGCAGTTTTAAATGGGAAGGTGGAATGGTCTGCTGCTTTAAATGTATCTGTATAAAACCTAAAGGTCCATTCAGACCATGTGTGTGTTAGGTTGCATTGCTCAACACAGGCTCAATGCAGTAACAAGCTGAAACCATTGTTTCCAATGTATTGTGTTGGTGTGCACTTTATGAAAATGGGACATGGTGCATTTATATGCAATGCCACACATAGATACCCATTACAGTACATCACAGTGATCTACAGTGAAATAAAATAGTGTATTTTGGCTCCTGTTGTGGACAAGAAAACCCACACATCAATGAAACACAATGCATTAAAAAACATGTTAACACACATCAACTCAATGTGAGCTAAATGCAATGGACGTGGTGTGAATCTAGCCTTACCCAATGACGTGTTATTTTATATACCACTGTATTTCAAAACCAATTGCATATTTTTGATAAAATACTTGTTTCCACTTTTTTAACCAATTCAATACCGGGCAATTTTACACCTTCCTGCCCAGGCCATTTTTCAGGTTTCAGCGCTCTCACACTTTGAATGACAATTGCGCGGTCATACAACATTGTACCCAAACTAAAATGTTATCATTTTCTTCACACAACTAGAGCTTTCTTTTGGTGGTATTTAATCACCGCCGGGGTTTTTATTTTTTGCTAAATTAACATAAAAAGACCAAAAATTTTGAAAAAAAAACCCACGTTTTTCTTTGTTTCTGTTATAAAAGTTTAGAAATAAATAATTGTTCTTCATAAATTTAGGCCAAGATGTATTCTGCTACATGTCTTTGGTGAAAATAACCCAAATTAGGATGTATTATTTAGTTTGTAGGAAAGTTATAGAGTTCACAAACTATGGTATAGATCTGAAAATTGATCAATCCTGAAGTACTGACAGCCAATCTAATTTCTTGAGGTCCAAGAATGTCAGAACAGTACAGATATCCCCCAAAAGGACCCCTTTTTGTAAAGCAGACAGTCCGACGTACTTCATAAGAGGCATGGCGAGTTTTTT